TTATTATTTTAAAGAATTTTATTGGACAAATATCATGTGATTGATAAGTGATCTGCAGAACAAAATTTCGGACTGTTAGGTGTCCCATACCATAGTATAAATTAGTATAATGGGGACAACCAAATATGGGGGTAGGCTAAAGCAGAGCAGATTCTGTGCCACAGCTGCAGCAGATCACCAAGCATCACCACAAATTTGGGTATCATGTGATAATAATAAAAACACTTCTCATAAAATCAGAGTTTTCAATGAAACTATCTCTACTACCGCTCTCCTCTATCCTCCAATACATTTCCTGCACTCTTTCCATTAGTTCATTAACAGTAAGTCTTTGGCTATCAGTTCTTCTCTGTTCTAGTAATGCCAAAATCAAATTCACATGGCAAATATCCTTGCAAGTCGTTCAAATTGAATGTTATAACGATTCTCCTGATCATGCACATAATACACAAGATATTGACAGAATAAAATGTCCACAAGCAATCCGAGATTTGATTAAACAGGAGGCTAAGAAAAACTATCTGTCACCTGCAATTGTAAATGCTGTAAAAGAATAGCCTCAACCTCGGTTCAACTGTGCAGGAATTGTAGTGAATATTAAGCATAAAGTTCGGGGAGCAATGAAAACCAATCTCATTGGTAGTGATAATATAGAAACTGATATTTTTGAAGCAAAGTCACATTTAAAAAATCAAGGATATCAGGTTAATCATTTTCATGTATCCTTGCACTCCAGCCAAGGCCTTGTTTTCGCATGTTCTGCTTTCAACTTTCGTACCAAGAAAGTATCTGCTTATGGGGTGGATAATGAGATTGTTGAAGAAATACAAAAATTTCCTTACCCTTTTCAAAAGCTACTCATAAAAGAAGCTTGTGCAGTGATGAAAAGAATTGAGAGTGGAAAGAATGCCCCAGGTCTGACTTCACTTGACTGTAATTGTTTGTTCATAAACAAATATCTACTGCTGTGTAAACACATTTTCCATAAACATATGTATGGGTCCATCAAGTTATTGACCAATAAACATTTCAGAGTATGGTTTGAAATTTATGAACAGCGTGAGCAAATCACCATACTTGTGCCACAAACAGACGAACATATTACAAAGATTTGACGGTCGGACTGATGTTTGTCTATGCTTATCAACTAATACTCCTTCCTGTCGTGTGCTTGATTGTCAATGCTTAGCCAAGCGGCAAACATAACCTCTCCAGAAATCGCCATTGACGTGTTTGTAAGAATTATATTGTGTCCATATGTTTGTTACCAATTTTTTTCAAATTCTTCGATAGAAAGTTCAATCAGTTCATTAATGTTAAACAGGTGCATTCGCTTTTCGTTAGGAGTGTCACTATTGATGGTATTCATTGTTGAAACAAATCCAGAAATAAAACAAGATTGTGATTGAAAATTATTTATTGATCATTTATGTGTCTGTCACTATGACTTTGTTGAAAGTTTTTTGTTGCCAGAATATCACTACTTAGCTATCTAATTTATAGTTGTTCTGAAACCACACTTCACTCACCCCATCCCTTTTATCATGACATTGATAGATGCCTTTCAAAGTGTTTTTCCATTGTCTGATATCACATGATACCCAAATTTGTGGTGGCACTTATGGCACAGAATCTGCTCCGCTTTAGCCTACCCCCAAATATGTAATTTTGTGGAACACGTTGTGTGACAACACTACCACATGACAATGTTGTTTCGTCCCCTGATTTTTTTTTCATTTATTAGTCGTAATTCAAAAATTCTGTTATTACAAGCAATAAGATTTGATTCTATACTGCCATCATCTTCATTTTGTGGGATCGAGATTGGATTAGTGGATAACCATGTCTTTGATTTGTGGTTGCATACTGAGGGAAAAACCCTGGATTCTCACCATTAGAAACCAAGTGATAAATGCTGGACATGAACAAATCCAGTTATTGGTTCTGTTAAATATCTTTCTTCAGAGTTAATGTTCATTTTTAAGCTTTTTTCCATTCACTTTTAAATACTCCCCACCAGGATGGAAAGGCCCTGATTGTGCCAAGTACTTATTTGGTCTGGGATTAGTTCTTTTGTTAAGATCTGTGTTAGATGATCTAATCATGGACGATTACAAGCAAACAAAGTAAACTGCACAGTACAATAGACAAGAAGCATTACACAGAATGTGATTCCACTAGGACAACCAAATTCTGTTCAGCAAATGGAGAAAAGCTGAAAGATAAGGTCTGGTAAAGATAATGTGGGGCAGACTGCAACAAAACCAGACAAAGTGAACATTCTGAAATAAGAGGCTGGTATGGCTGAAAGTTAACTAATTTGACTAATACTAATGACATTTTGAAAAGTAATAATGGTGCTCATTCATAACTTATGGACTTATTAATTTTAATGTTCCCTTTATTATGCCAGAATGTGATGAATATAGGACTACCTCTGTATATATAAAAATAAAGTATATGAAACTAATTTACATCAAATCCACTATGGAACCAAAGAATTACAGCACCATTAGAAGCATCCTAAAGAAAGCTCAAGGAGAAAAAATTGTGCCTTATGTTTTTAAGATCAATGATACCCAAACCCTCCAGGAATATCTATATCAAGAAAAAATTACTTATGAAATTTACCAAGAAGAACGAAAAATAATAAACCATAAACGAGCACTACCACCAACTTATAATGAACCAAGAAAGAAACGAAAACTAGAAACATAAAGAATATTTGTTTCTCTATTATAGTTGATGATCAGGACAAATTTCCATGATTCTTTATGTACTTTTCGGGTAATAGTATGGATAGCAATAAATACGATAATTTTGGTTCGCTGTGCCCCAATTACCATAAAGTACACGGAAGAAAAAGCATTATCGCTTTTATTCTAAAAGTCTCGAGAAAAACAATTGAAGCGCTTAAAAAATGGGTAGATAAAGAAAAGGGGAAGAGAAATATAGACGTTAATAGCATTTATAATAATACATAGCATAGATTTCACTAGCGCGACCAAAGTATAGGGGTACTCATCAATGGCTTTGGGTCCGAGTATTTCCTCCCATGCAATCGCTCTAGTGAAGCTTCAAATATATCTACTTCGTTTTTTAAAGGAATAATAAAGTCAAGACGACAAAATATGTGTGTAAATATCTTGATTATGTTAATCTTTGCAATCTATGTTCAAAATTTTAAATGAAAAACAAAACTCGCAAATTGTCCCAACTTAATGAAAACATGGTCTTCCTGCACAATATCATGCTTCATATAGACTACAATCACAAGAATAACGTTTGTTGATAGAAATGTTGTTTTGGCTCTGTTCAAGCAAGGAAGTTTTTATTTTTTACATACAATTATTATTACGTGTGGTGCGATCACTCTAAATGTGCGTGAATTGGTCCTGTAATAGTAAACTGCGTTCATGTTAATACAAACACAGTTTCTGCGCATTTATTATCATTGGTCGCATTCTGCATGCAGGGAACAATAGTTACATTGCGCAGCATATCCTGAACCTTTTTATTTCGAGCAAACGAAACATCGAACATGGATACCATCAAGCAAGCATACGATGACGCGAAGAAGGAGCATGAGGACGTGAAGGCGAACTTGAAAAGGCTAGTGGACTTGCGGAGTGGAGCAGAGCCTAAATGGCATGGAGAGCTGGCGTACTGGGAGGGGAAGGAAACGGACCTAGAAGACGCGGAAAAAACGTGGAGAGAGACGCTGCAAGACTTAGCACGTAAACTCCCAGCTCAAACAGGTAACGACTTTGTGACTCGGGCGTTGGGGACATAGAGTAGTGTTTACATAGGGTACATAGGGTAGAGTATATAGACTTAGTGTATAGTATAAGCAAAATCATTTATTATTACCGTAGAGCGCCGCCTAAAGTACTCGGGGTATTTTACATTTCACACTCTTTAGGGGAAGGACAAGAAGAGTTGCTCAATGTCGTCAACGAGATGAAGCGAAAAATGGAGGATATAGACTATAACGTGAAGAGGATGAGGTTGTTGTCTGCTGGAAGTACAACATTCTTCACTTCCGATAACGAAACGGATCGTGGAATGTATATTATGCAGGATTCGAATAACGTAATCAGCTTCCCCTTTGAGGCAGAGATTCAGCAATCGATCAGCCAGATCGGCATATCCGAACGCGCCCACAAAGGGCGTTTTCATGACCCACCCACTTCGGATAGCGAAGAGGACTATCAGCAGTATTTTTCACGATATTCCACTGCTTTAACAAGTAACATCATGATCCACGATTCTCATAAAATGCCAATCCTTGCCAGAAGGAAACCAGACTTTGTTGGAATTGCAAAGGACTGGCCACTCGATGCACTCAATGTCAGTCTGGTTATAGAGATTAAGCCATATAAGACAGCCGCCTTTTCACATGCAGATGTTGGGCAATTAGCATCATTTGCTGACAGAGTTCTTCGAATCCAACCAACACGTAATTTTGTTTATGGCATTCTTTCTGATTGCATCATATCATGCTTTTGAAAGCAGAGAGAACGGAAGGGGGTATTATCTTTTACCGAACCACGATGGCGACCATCAAGAACAAAGGTCCTGGCTGGGACTGGCTTGTTACACTTTTTCATCGGACACCAGCTGAACTAGGGTGGCGAGAGTCTGAAATTTTTTACAATTCAGGGTCCAATTGTGTCAAGCTTTTGAGATTGCTGGGACGTGGAAGAACTTCATGGGTATTTGAAGGATTAGTTACAAAGGGATCACATGTGGAACACCAAGTTGCAGTTAAGATCACTTGGGATTTTATGCATGAAAGGATTGACAAGGAAGTGCAGACACTCTCAAGATTGAGCAATAATGATGGCATTCCAAAGGTTCTT